GCTGGGTCCAAGATGAATTGATGAAGGGGTCAGAAATTCTGCTTTTCAAACCTGATTTAAAACATGTTCAGGCCATCTTCCAGTTGATGGTCTTCCACAGCAGAGGGGGGATGCAGTTTCCTGTAACCAGTGATGTTCTGTGGGTTTCTCCATAAAGGCAAGGATTCATTTGTTGAATCAAACCTGCTTTTCAAACCTAATTTAAAACATGTTCAGGCCATCTTCCAGTTGATGGTCTTCCACAGCAGAGGGGGGATGCAGTTTCCTGTAACCAGTGATGTTCTGTGGGTTTCTCCATAAAGGCAAGGATTCATTTGTTGATAATCAGCCTCAAATACACTCCAATCTGTGCAGTCAAAGCAGCCCTGTAGATCTGACTTAGCCTGCTCAGTCCAGCTCTTTACTGTTTTGAAAACGGGCTTTGCAGCTTTAAGTTTCTCCTTGTAGGTCATGATGAGATGGACTATGCAGTGATCAGAAAGTCCTGCTGCACCGAGTGATAATGTCCTTTATCACAGTGTAGCACTGGCATAACTCCATTATGCGATGTGCTTTGTATACCTGAAACCCTGGTATTTGTATTGTGCAACATGGAGTTGCTGAACCAAGCTTCCATGAAGCATAGAGCAGTAGAACATGAGAAGTCAGAGTTAGCCCGGTTGATGAGAAAGAGTTCATCCATTTTGTTGGCTAGAGAGTGAAGATTCATTAGATGGATAGACTGGAGCAGCATCCGGGTATCTCACTCTTCGTGCAGCTTTTTGTGTTAGCAAAAACAGAAGAAAAGGTGCTTGGAGTGAGGTGTCTGATGTTTAGGAGCTCTTCTGTGGTAAACATAATCCAGGATGGGTTTCAGAAGACCAAGAATGCCAGGGGAAAACAACTAACACATGAAAGGGCGCATGACCAAGGCAGCCATCTGCTCCGCCATCTTGACTTGACAGCAGTGGAAATGGAGTTTCTGGGCTCCAAAGTGGATATCCAGCATCAGCACTATCAAAAAAGTCACAGTACAGGGTGTTCTTCCTGTGCCAGCTCAGGAAGTTCAACCTGCCCCAGGAGCTGCTGATACACTTCTACAGAGGAATCATCAAGTCTTGTCCATCACTGTCTGGTTTGGTTCAGCAACCAAACAGGACATGAACAGACTCCAGTGGAAAGTTTAGATTGCAGAAAGATTCATCAGTGCCAGCCTGCCCTCCATGGAGGACCTATACACCTCATGGGTCAAGAGGAGGGCAGAGAAGATTTCTGCAGACCCCTCACACCCTGGACACAAACTGTACTTGAACTCCTCCCCTCCGACCAGTGCCACAGGCCACTGTGCACCAAAACAACCAGACAGGGACTGTTTCTTTCACTGTGCCAACACTTTTTAGCAGCTAGCCCATGTATGTTTGTTTGACAGGACACAGCAATCACCCCAGAGCAGTAATTTGTAAATATAACACTGTACCAGCTTATCTGAAAGTTCTTCTTTCAGATTGTACAGTGCCTTGCGAAAGTATTCGGCCCCCTTGAACTTTGCGACCTTTTGCCACATTTCAGGCTTCAAACATAAAGATATAAAACTGTAATTTTTTGGGAAGAATCAACAACAAGTGGGACACAATCATGAAGTGGAACGAAATTTATTGGATATGTCAAACTTTTTTAACAAATAAAAAACTGAAAAACTGGGCGTGCAAAATTATTCAGCCCC